TAAAAACAAGAACAAATAATCAAAAAAGAAAAGAAAATATGGTACACATACACAATGTAATTTTATTTAGCCAGAAAAAGTAACGAAACATGACATTTGTGGGAAAATGGATAGAGCTGGAGATTATTATTTTAAGTAAAATAAGTCAGACTGGGAAAAACAAATACCTCATGTTTTCTTTAGTGTTTGGAATTTAGGATTAAAATCATACATGCAAGAAAAAAAGAAAACATGCTTTTACCTGTATTCATTACAATCATTCTCTTGAAGAATATAATATAACATATTGTAATTTCTATATTGCCCAAAAGATTTTGTTGGTGTATATAAATATGAAGAGCAGAGAATCAGAGATCAGAGAATATAAAAGAAGAATAAAGAAAAGTTCTGAAAGAAACGGAAAAAAAAAAAAAGAATTGACCTGCCTTACGTTTAGTGGAACAGCACTCAAAATATAAAAGCAAAGCCAGTGCCCTTGTTGGCTTTTCTCTTGTAACAAAACCCCAAGACAGTGCAAGGATACTAACTAGGGCTTTTATTTTTAAACTTTTCTTTTCAAAAATAAAAACAGATTCTAACTTCCATAAAACAAACAAGCTAGCCCATAATAACTTGGCCTTACTTGCTAGTTAAATAAAATAAAGCAACTCTTGAGACTTTAAATGTTAAGAGCACATTGTGAGGTGTCAAACATGGGGTATGGAGTTTTCTCACACTATCCTCTTGAAAATGAGAGCCATAAGTGTAAATGTGTATCCTCTGCTATAAAGCAAGAAGCTGAGCGGTTATACTTATGCAGAAGTTGAGTGTAGCCTTTCTCAAGAGTTCTCTAGGGACAACACACTCACTGGGTGCTGGCAGGTCATTTGTTGGCCCTCAATATTAATGTGACACCCGCCTGTCACTGAGCCCACGGAGAACACCTAGGTTTGTATGAGAGGAGGTTCACTCTCAGGACACAGGCACTGGGTCATTCCCATCCTTTACCAATAAGAAGTTAATTCTAAAGTTTCAAAGAAGGTCAAAACTGTCCCTCTGGCCTCTTTCCCAACCTTGCTGTTCTCACTTCAATGACATGATTTCAATACTGCTGTAGTTGTGCCCAGAAGTAATCAGGGACTCTAAGAATAAAACCCATTACAGAGACTCCTCATGAAGCCAATGGGGTCACAAAGCTTGGCACCAGGTAGGAACAGCACTCACTAGAGAAACTGGGTGAGGCCAGTGTTCAGAAAGGCACAGAAGCCTGGTACAGGGCCTTGTTTAAAGGGTGTAAGACTCTGTATGGCTTCTAGATACATACATTAAAATAGCATGTAGAGTCTGGTAGATAGGATAAGTCCCTTCTACCGATGGCACACAGTGGTAGAGTTAGCAGAGAGAGACCCAAAGAGTGGACTTTAAAGCCAGACCATCTGTCCAAATACTACCTGTTCCCACCACCAGGGTATGTCTTTGGAGAAATTCCCTAACACATCTCCCTCTCATCTGGAGATTCTACAATCAATACAAGTTCTAGCACAGGGTGTTGTGAGGATGCACGTGAATTATACAAGAATGCCTACAGCAGTTTTAGAAGCTTGATACCAAAAACAAACAAAAAAAATTCATCTAGAAACAAAGTCATATTTCATGGTATAGGAAACACAGAGAGGTACGAGATAAAGAGAACTAGGGATCTACTTGTGTTTGTGTGTGTGTGCATGTGCGCGTGAGTGTGTGTACACCAAAGATCAACCTCATGCACCTTGTTATTTCAGACAAGGTTTCTCAATGGGCCTGGGACTTGCTGATTAGGCTAGGCTGGACCCCAGGAATCTGCCTGTCTTTGCCTCCCCAGCTCTGGAATTACAAACATGTGTCGCCATACCATGTTGGGCATCAAACTCGGGTCTTCATGCTCTCACGGTAAGCAGCTGACTGACTGGGTTATCTCTTAAGCAGAGGGTTTACTCTAACAACTAAGGGCACTTGGCAAGCTTAGCTAAGGCACATACCCCTAAGTATACACTTGGCATTAACTTAACACCTGCACAGTGCATCTCAGGTAACGTCGTGAGATTCTTCCCCCAAGAATCAGCACTGTGCTCAGCTCTGTGGCCTCGAGGGCGCAGTGAGAGTCTACACTGTGGTTGCTGGCAACAGTATCCAGAAAAGGGCCTGCCAGTGGTCCAGGATAAAGACCTACTCCTGAATTTTCTTTTCCTCTCTAGCATCCCACATCTGGCAATAAAATAACCTCAAATACTCTGGGGTACTATATTTTGTTTCTTCAAGAATGTGGGTGTAAAACTCTGATCATGCCTTTAATCCCAGCACCGAGGAGGCAGAGGCAGGTGGATCTCTGTGAGTTCAAGGCCAGCCTGGTCTACAAGAGTTAATTCCAGGAAAGCCAGGGCTGTTACACAAAGAAAAACCAAACCAAACCAAACCAAACCAAAAGAAAACACCACCAAAACTCCCTCCCAATCAGGAGACAGGCACTTTGAGAAGGGCTTGGCAGGTCTGGGAGGGGCTAGCACTAGTTTTCAGCAGAGTAAGCACTCTTTCAGTTTTTACTTGCAGATTAGATGTCATCGAAGAACAGTGTGGTATTTTGTGAGGCAAAGCAACACTTCACCAAGACCAGCAAGAACAAGGGAAGACAGGAAAAAGATGGAATTATACACATATCAACGGAAGGAAATACAATGTGAATTAATATACCACACCCTGGCTGCACAATGTGCTTTATCTGGCTTCCTGGCTTCCACATTTCATACAACAACTAGTCTATAATAGTTAAGCTCATTAAAAGCTTTCTACAGCATCCCTTTTCCCTACCCTCTAAACATGGGAAGAATTATGATTTTTTCATTGGTTGATCTCCTACCGTAAGTAGACTGCAAACACTAAAAGATAGAGTTAATGAAAGCAGGGCAATGCCACTCAATTTTACAGCCCAGGTCAAAGCAAGAAGAACTGAGCAAACATATGTAAGCTATCACAGAAGACCGGCTCTCCAGAGGCCAGCCTGGCAGAGGCGTCACAGACGAAAACAGAGGCAGAAGGCTGTCTCCGAGGACCGGAGCAGGTGTGTTTGTAAACCTTCTGAAGCGTTCACCCTTGTCATTAGCTCAGTACTTTCAAAGGCTGGTGCAGGTGACTGGATGCAAACACACAGGACAGGACATGTGATCTCCCTCTGTGATCTCAGAAGCCATCTGTCCTGGCAGAGGACTGATGAGGTGTCAGGAGACTAACTCTACAGATGGCCAGATCTGCTGGCCACATAACAAAAAGGACATGGGATTCTGCCTGGGAGGGGTGTGGAGGGAAGGGGAGAGGTGGAAGTCAGTCCTGCCCTTCCCTGCACCAAGGCTGAAGCAAGTCCAAACAGCAGAGCTTCTGCTCACACCAGCTCATCGTTTCCTGCAACTTCTTTTTACAAACTCCCACCTTTGTTTGCAAACTTCCGGCTGGATGGATAATGGGACCCATGTGTTAGCTTTCATGCTTCGTGTGAAAATTTGGGGGAGCATTAAAAAAAGAAAACGATCTTCACTGCATTTAAGTACTTTCCACTTCTATCCTCTTTTTGGTTGCAAAAAAATAAAAAATAAAAAAGACAGTCCTATATTTTTTCTGTGACTCTAATTTGAGGCTTTTGATGAGGTTAGGAAATAAAAGCTGTGTCCCATCTCTCATTTTAAGTGACACTTATCTTTCAAGAACAGTGGGATTTATAGTCTCAAATGGCAGAACTATTAGGAACGTCAAGATGCTCCTGAAGAACTTTGATCTTTGCATTCTTGACGTGGCAAGAGAAGCAGAGCAAGATGCTCAGCAAGGCCTCGAAAGGAGAGGCTGGGTCCCACACAGAGCACAACTGTATTGATACCAACAGTGGGGAGGGAGCTGAGTGGCTGCTCAGCTGAGCTGACTCCATTCTTCTGAGTCTTCTGGGAAATCTAGTTCTATCTTGGGCTAAGTCATAAGAAGAGATTTATTTATGATAAAGAGATCAGATGGTTAAATTTGTGTGTGTGTGTGTATATATATATATATGTATATATATATGTATATGTACACCATGTATGTGCAATGTCCAGATATATATTTAGCTTTATATATACACAATTTCACTTCTTACAGTATTTAAGGTATCTCTTTGGGAAAATGGGGGAAAAGAGCCTTTAGGAAGAGCCTTTAGGAGGGAGCTAGTACCCATGTCAGGGATAGCTTCTCAATACTACCCCAATGGCTTTAGTATGGCAAAGATCACAGTTATAAACCATTTCCTGCTGTTTATGAAATCTGAGCATTTCTACAGCCCAGGGAGTTAAGATTACTAAAATAGTATATGAATATTACACTGTTTAATGATATGACTTAGTCACACAGAAGAAAGGCTGTAAGGAAAGGGCAATCCTTCCCCAGTGACAAAAACTGGGTAGACACAGTACCCTATGCTAGACGAAGAGAAATACAGGAGTTCAGAGCCGTATGGTAGCCGAGGTCTGTGTGGGAGGCAGGCAGCGCCAGTGCCTGTGGGGCCTGGGCAACTCTGCATCCTCAGTTCCCATCCAGACATCACACGTAAGTAGGATCCGACATGCAGCAATTTCTGACTGTAGAGGCAGAGGGCAGGTTAGGACATAAATGTCCTCAATCACAATATTTTGATAAAGCGTAAGGAGTTAAAAATCCATTGGTCAATAACTTCAGGCTCAGAGCACAGTACATTTTCTTCTGGGCTGGGTAGTTTACTGGAGAGTCAGCTGTAGGCCAACGTCCTCTAGGACGGGAGGGGAGATGCAGAGATGCAAGGCCTACAAGCCAGATGCAGGAGGACCAGGTTTCTGTAGTTCCTGAAGCTCCTGAGCTTCCTTATGCTTGAGGGAATGAGTACTTATATTCTGTTTTGTTTTGTTAAGCCTCCAGTGTAAGTATCCTGGGCCATAATGAGCCTCAGCAACTAACTCTGTGACAGTAGACAACATTTATTTCTAAACACTTACCAAAGGTGTGTCTCTTCCTCCTACAATGCTGAGACCAAGCCCTGAGCGCCCCTTGGATATTTCTATGATCATTTCCTGGCCAGGGACAATGGGACATGTTGCAGGGTCCACTGAGAGAGGAGCCTGGAAGTTACCTGGAAAGGGAAAACACAATGATTAGCCGTAGAAGATGCAGCTCGTGCACTCACTGGAGCATACGGTGTGTGCTTCACGTCATTCCCTCTGCATGAGGCACTGTGAAGGGAAAAGCTGGGTAACCGCTCACCTCACCCACAGGACAAGGCACTAACTCATCAATCTGTCAACTTACCAATTCTAGGTATACTTAATTAAAAAAACTCAAAACCCACCATGAAATACAGCATTGAAAAATTTAAGATGACTAAATATTTAGGTCCACCAAAGCATACTGCAATGAGTATAAGAGCTATTATGACGGAAAATTGGGGTTTATAAGAATGTCACAGGCTGAGCATCCCTAATACAGATATCTGAAATTTTTTGATCATTGACATAATACTATAAATGGAAAATTCAACACATGACTTCATGTGATAGGAGAAAGTAAAAATATGGACACATCCAAACAGCCTCAGGCTGTACATAATATATATATAGATATATATATATACATAAATAAAACATAAATGGATTCTGTATTCAGATTTGGATCCTATTCCCAATCTATCTCATTATATATATGAAAATATTCCAAAATCTTAAATATTTCTAGTCCCAAGAATTTTGGTCAAGATTATTCAACACACATACACACACATACATGAATATACACATGTATGCATACATTTGTGTTATAATAAAAATATGAAAACTTACTCCCAAGGCCATGAATAAAACTCTTGTTAAAAGAGTTATAATATTGTATAAAGGCTTATTTATTTAGTTAAAGTTTATTACTTTTCATAGTTTTAGTGTTGTGAGTGCCTGCATATGTGCACTAGGGCATTTTCCTGGAACTGGGGTTACAGACGGTTGTGAGCTGCCATGTGGACACTGGGAACCAATCTTTAGTCCTCTAGAAGAGCAGCAAGTGCTCTTAACTGTTGAGCCACCTCACCAGCCTCTAAAGGTTTATTATTTTTAAATCATTCTTCAAGAATGCATCTTTCTAAAACAGATAAAAACTTCCAGGCCAAGAAGGACGTTTAAAAACACCCAGTATCTATTTCCAAATGTGCACTTTGCGTATAACTAACCCCACTCTAGTGAAGAACTAAAACTTACAGCGTTTTAGTGTCCTGCAGAGACCTCTATAGAAGTGATCTCTGCCGGGGGCTTTGCCCTTACCAAGTCTGAGCACCATGATGGTGGATGCAAATCCATAGGGGTTGACAATAGTGAGCGCCACCTACTGGTCAGTAGTGTCTAAAGCATAGAAACCTAGAAGACCAGGATTCAAATGTCTGCTAGAGCGACCTACCTATGTGATAGCAGGTATTAGCAGGCTACTGCCCATAACCACAGTGTCAATACAAGTTCAAAAGGAAAAAAAAAAGAGGAAAATTGTACCTATATATCTATGTCAGTATTTATCTATCTATATCTATATCTATCTATATCTATAGATTTGCTTTGTTTTTCGAGACAGGGTTTCTCTCTGTGGAAAATCATATTTTAAGACAGATAAAATTTACAAGAATTAAAATTTCAGTGTCCATAAAGCTGTACTGAAATCCAGACCCACTAATTCATTTATGCTTATGTATGCTATTGTACACACAGGCAGAGGTGAAAAGCTGCAACAGGCTGTGTGGCCTGTGAGCTCAAATGGTGGCCATACAGTTCTTTATAGAAAAGTTTGGTTTTGGCTGTGTGTGGCACATTCCTGTTATCTCAGTACTCCTGAGACTTAGGCAGGAGGTTCATCTTGAATTTAAGGCCAGCCTGGGTTACAAAAGCAAGACAGGTTTCCCCCTCTCTGCATCCTGCTCCAGAGCAAGGAGGGGGAATATAAGAAGGAAGAGGAAGATTCTTAGCACAAAACAAAGAAAGTGGACCCGTGGGAGTTTTTGATTCAATAATTATGATTTGATAACACAGGGGAGCTGGGTTTAAACATACAGAAGTAGATTCAGGCACCTAAACAGCAGATTCCTATGTAGTAAAATTGGCTCACTGCTGAAGAGTAAATGCAGGTTAGCGTTACTCAGCAGGTCAGAGGAGCAGCAAGACAGTGTGGGTGAGGTGCCAGCATCCAGCATGGTGGGTGAGGTGCCAGCCTCCACCCGGCCTGCTCCAGGATTCACCCAGCGCCACTGCTGTACATGGAACGTGCTGACCTAAAGACCTAGCTAAGATGAACAACCCAGTGATACAGCCCCAGAAACAACAGAAAGTTTAATTTTAGAAAGATTTTTCTGTCTTTTTTTTTGCAGTTTATATAATTCATGTTGTTTCCCACTAATCTAGCATAAACATGGCATACAACTGGCACATCTCATGGCAGCTTTGGAAACTTGACTCTGCTGTTATGAGTGCCTACTGTAGTCCCCGGAGTAAACAGAGAGAATAGGAAGATGCTAGAGATGGCATTTTTATCCCTCCACCCCATTGTCCTAAGTCACTTTTAGGTTGTTTTATAAGAATTACTTTTATTTTTTAGTGTCTGGAGACAGGGTCCCTCTACATAGCCCTGGATATCCTGTCCTGAAACTCTATCTGTAGCCCCGACGGGCTTCAGATTCACATAGATTCACCTGACTCTGCCTCTCAGTGCTTGGATTAAAGGTATGGGCCACCATGCCTGAGAAGATTTATATTTATTTTATGTGGATGAGTGCTCTGGTGTGTGTATATCAGCGGACCACAGGGGTGCACAATGCCCACAGAGGTCAGAGGACGGCACCAGACCCCTGGAACTGGAGCTGCAGGGGGTTGACTGCTCCACGTGAATGCTAGAAAACAAAACTTGGCCCCTGCAAAAGCTACATATGTTCTTTCTTAATTGCCAGATGTCCAGTCAATCTTTGCGTTTGTTTCTCTCACAGAACTCAACTCAAAGCCCGGCTCATACCAAGTATTCGATAAATATTTAAGTGGATGAGAGATGAATATAGTTCTATAACTTAAAATACAGGGCCATGGTTTGCTATTACCTGGTATGAATACATGATGTACATTAGCCAGACCCTCCTGGTCTGTATCCATGGCCAGGTATAGGCCAGACTGTCTCTGCTGGAGCTGTTTAACTTCATCACATGGCATCAGAAGAGCCAAACATCCGCAGACAATATATAAGCAATGCTCAATGATGTGTTAAGGAGAGCTGAAGTGCAAATTTCATGGCATTTTCATAAAATTGACTTTCAATTGTTTTCAATCTTTGGAATATAAAACCATCTGTAGCTCCTGGATGAAGTGAAATAGGTGGAGGGCTACATTTCATCTGTAGTTCGTTTGCTGATGATATTCATCAAGTACCCTGACTTAAAACCAAATAGTACCTATGCGCTAAACTTTCTACAGAGTGACATTTATGAAAAAGAGTGCAAGTCAGCACAGGGTTATAAGTTCATCATTGGTGAGCTTGCTTGTTTGTTTGTTTGTTTGAGACAAGGTCTGTTAGGCAGCTCTGGCTGGTCTGGAACTCACTATGTAGATCAGGCTGCTCCAACTCACAGAGATCCGCCTGCCCAAGCACTGGGATTTCATTTCTTTTTAATCATATGTATGTGCGTGGCAAGAGCAAATGAGGGTCGGTGCTCATGGAGACCGGAAAGTGTCAGATCTCAGGGTACAGGGGGATGTGAGCTGCCTGCTGTGGGCGTCTTCTGGAAGAGTAACAAGCACTTAATCTTGGAGCCACCTCTTCATCAGCAGTAGCCCCACCTGATGTGGGAAGTGATGTATGCTGTGAATGTTTTATTGCCATTGGTGGCTGAAAGAGACATATAGAGAGAGTAGGTGGAGTCAGAGAGAATCCATGTAGCCCCATCGGAGACAGATGCTGTATGCTGGCAGAGATTTACCTGGTAAGCCACAGCCACATATTAATGAAGATGGGTTAGTTTAGGATATAATAGCTAGGTAAAAGTATAAGATATTGGCCAAACAGTAATAATACAGTTTCTGTGTGATTATTTCAAGTCAGGGCGGTTGGGAAATGAACTAGCAGCCTTCTTCCCAACTCCCATCCCTTGGTTTTTTTACTGATAAATACTGGATAAAATCAAAGTGGAGACACTGATCACTTGCTTTGAAGCTCTTTCAACGCTCACTCTTCATCATAACTCAAGCTACAACATGATTCTATCCTTGCCTCCTTCCCTTCTCTTTCTTTTTGAGACTAGACTTCCTAGAGCCCAGGCTGATCTGGAATTCACTATGTAGTTGAGGATGACCCTAAATTCCTGATCCTCCTACCTCCATTTCTCAAATGCGATTACAGGCACCACCATGCCTGGCTCTGAATACCAACTTCTCTACTGAAAAATAAATCCTCAATGGCTTATATCAAATATATAATGTTAAAAACTGCCTTCATTATGGTTTTGGAGACATTATCCATGACTTAACCTTGGTCTTTGGGAGAGATTTTCAGGCAATCGGTAGGCTTTAGTTTCATCAAATGCTTCTTTGGAGGGCCTTTTCTCATTTGTGTTTACATTCAGTAAATATTAGGGGATGCAGAGGGTAAAGAAATGAGAAACAGTGCAGGAAGTGGGGTGTTCAAGCTCAAAAGTATGGATGTTGAGGAGGGACACAGACCCAGGTGTCCTCCTCCCGCCTCATTCTCAGAGCATCGTGACATTTGTCTTCTCCAAAGGTTCATGAGTCGTACCAGAGCCTGTGAAGTCTGCATCTTCGGACTGGCACAATGGGCTTGGTGCTAGTGGGAGCTCTTGGGAGCTGAAGGGAGCTTGTACTGAATACGCTTGTTGTTTCATCTGGCAGGCAGCCTACAAAAGGAAGGAAAAATTACATGACTGTCAAGAAGGAGAGAAGTAATAAGAACACTGTAAAATTGTTGTATTATTGCTATCAAAACAATGGTGAGTTTCAAAAATGTGTTTTCAGAAAACAGGGTGCTCACTCAGAGAGGTGTCAAGAGAAAACTAAGCTGATTTTTGTATTGTCTCCCATTTAACTTTGCTCCTAAGAAACGTACAGGAGGCTTGGTTAAAAATGGGGAGCAGGATATAAGTGGAATATTAACTTTCAGTTTTATGCTTTTTCTGACAACACTCCCATGAATATTAGCATTAACTAACTAAGAAAAATGAAGGGCTCCATGCCTTCTCAAGAGTCACATAAGAAGGAGATGGTGACGTGATTTGTCTGCTGAATTGCAATAAGTGCCAGGCTGTCTCTGGACTCTAGAGACATCTGCTCCAGAGCAGCAACACTCCAAGATCCTGTCTGTGGAAGGCTATTCCTCTGCACAAGGCACATGCAGTATGCAAGAACTAAGACAATTTTAACCACTGTGCATTTGTATTGTGCTTTCTAGTTTTCAAAATACTATTACCTGAATGGACGCCTCAATCACAATAACATTCCTCAGTATTAGACAGTATCATCACACAGTCAACTAGAGGAAGAGGCTGGGTGGTAATCAGTTCTTGGAGAATGCTACAATCAGAGTACTTACGGAATAACTGCTAGGCCATAGTTCTTTCATTTTTGTTTTTATAAAACAATTTGATTTTTACGTATTATTATTAGTGTAATATCTGGAGATAAGTGGAGAATTTTATGGAGTCAGTTTCCAGCTTCCACCCATATGAGGCAGGGTCTCTCGTTTTTGTGCTGTGTGCTTCAGGCCAGTTGGTCTGCCAGCTCTAGACAATCTGTCTCTGTCCTCCATCTTGCTGTAGGTACTAGATACTGCATCTGGCTTTTTTTTATGTGGGTTCCGGGAAAAGAAGTCAAATGAACAAGCTTGCTGGGCAGGTCTTTCACCTGCTGAACAACCTCAGTAGCCGACTATCATCACCTTTAATACTGACTGGATCCTTACTTAAAATGCCTTTTCCTCTCACACATTTACTAACAAGAATAGTGTGCGTGGAGGGATTATTACTAAAACTGGGGGGCAGCACAGTGGCTCATGGCTACTTAACTCAGGGCTCTAAAAACCTCATAGCCACATAGACTCATACTTATCAATGTCTTTCTGGAAGATGGTCAGTCTTCACAACATCAAAGAACATACTTCAAGTTTGCAGCCCCTGATCAGCTTTGTTGACAGCAGATGGCACTTGACTTCCTATTCTGGACGTTGCTAGTGGGACAGCTGTATGTTGTGAAGTGGTTGTAAAGGTGGAAGAGGAGTTAACTCCAGAAAGGCCTGACCCCATCCCCCCCTACAGGACTGGTGAGCTCTGGGTCAGAAATTTCAGAAACAGAACATTCCATGCCCACCAGAGTCAGCTGGTTTAGCTGCCCACTTCCATGGGCCATTCTCTTCTGCAGTCCCAGAAAAAGCACCATTGCCTTCCAGAGGGGACAGTGCATGTTCTTCAGCAGGGAAAAGAATGGGCAGAGGAGGTTTAAAACTCCATCAAACTATAGAGATGGCTGCCGCATACCCTGAACCGGTGAGTGTCCAGAGTGCTGGAGCATCAGCAGTACCGGCAGCAAAATGCACTATTGGCATCATAATGCAGCAATAGGTTTTGAACTGTAAACATTTTTGGATGAGCTGAATGGGTATTTTTAAAGTTATTTTATTACTTTGTGTACATTGGTATTTTGTCTGCATGTAGTCTGTTCCATGTTTATGCAGTGCCTTTGTAGGTCAGTAGAGGGCATCATATTCCCTGGAACTGGACTTATGGATGATTGTGAGCCACCACGTGGGTACTGTAGATCAAACTCAGGTCCTCTCTGGAAGAGCAGCCATAGCATTTCTAAAGCTCTTGTGGTGCAAAGGATGACACCCAGGGCCGCAGACATGCTAGCTAAGTATTCTACTACCAAGTGACACCCCAGACCTACATGCATTTGTTTTTATTGATGTGTTTAGCATATAATTTTAGAGAATTTTCAAAGGCATTTTATTTGGAAATGTTTGAAATACCAAATTCTTTGTTTGGTTTTTTTTTGGGGGGGGGGTGGGGTGTTTCAAGAGAGGGTTTCTTTGGTTAGCCCGGGCTATCCTGGTACTAGTTCAGGCTTGTCTTGAACTCAGAGATCCACCTGCCTCTGCTTTCCAAGTGCTGGGATTAAAGTCATGCACCACCTAGAGTATATACTTTCTATATACTCTTGTATATGAACTGTGATATGGAGGTAAAGCAAGATAAACCCTCCTCTCCCCAACTTGCTTTTGTCGTAGTGTTTCATCACAGTGATAGTGACCCTAACTAGGGCATGTATACATACTCATGTATAGACACTTCCAAGTATACGTAGTTAAAAACAACAATTCTTAAAGCATAAATTAGTACATAGAAATAAAAACCAGGATTTTAAAAAGAGGAAAAAATTAAAAACAGTGAACATTTGATAGACACAAGCTGATAGCCTGCTGAGTGTGGGGCTCAGGGCAGACATCTCAGCACTTGAAGGAAGGAGGCAGGAGTTCACAGTCAGCCTTGGCTACATGAATTTAAGGCAAACCTGGGCTACATAAGGCCCTATCCACTGCCCCTCCCCCGCAAAAAATCCCTACGTAACCAGCCAACCAAACAGTTCATAAGCTTTAGGACCTGGCACATACAAGGTATTAACTCTTCCATCCAGTGATGTCCTCAGACCTCTAGCTTGTAAAGAAAAATCAAATTCAAAATTTGAGGAACACTAAAGTTATTGTATTTATATCTTTATCAAACTGCAAATTCTTCCATCTGAAAATTTTATTCATGGCATTGTATAAGATAGGGCAGTCTTAAAATTTAACTGCAAAAGGATGTCTTTGAAAAAAATTGTGTGTGCGTGCGCACGTGTGCGTGCTGTGGATTGGCTGTGGAGGTCAGAGGACCAATTTTGGGAGTCAGTTTTCTCTTTCCACCAGGTGAATCTCGGCGATTCAACTGAGGTCATCAGGCTTGGCAATGAGCACCTTTACCTTGCTGGCTCAAGTGAGTCTTAAATACAGGGTAGGCTAGCAGAATAGAATGGTGGAGAAAGGACACTTCTCCATACCTGAGTGTGATCAGTGACATCAACTGTGCGTTGACACCAGGCTTTAAGACACTTTAACCTTCTGCCAGCAAGAACAGATTTGACGTTATAATCATCTCCTTTTCTTGTGGAATGCAGTTCACATAACACACTATCCCAACAGAGTAAATCCCAACATAAATTACCACACTGTCAGGTGACTCCAATGCCGTCTGTTGCTCTGCCACCTCTGTGTTGTGCTCAACCACCTCTGACAGGTCTTCCTGAAGTGTCAAAGATACAATCAGTTAGCAGCATCATAGGTCTCAATTGCACCTCTGGCAGTCCCCTGGGCTTTGGTCTCAAACAGCACTTACACAATCTCCATCCCCTACCTGGGAGAACCTGCATACCTGAGCTCAGGCTAGCCTCTCAGATATTTCTGGTGGTCTTTCCTTCTCTATTACATAGCTTTCCTAGATCTGTGTGATGCTGAATATGAAATCAGTTCCAGGGTTCAATTCCTGATATTAGATCCCCCACTCCCAGCCTTTAAGATGCTCATATAGGGCTGGAGAGGTGGCTCAGAGGTTAAGAATACTGACTATTCTTCCAGAGGTCCTGAGTTCAATTCCCAGGACCACATGGTTGCTCACAACCATCTATAATGAGATCTGGTGCCCTCTTCTTGTCTGTAGGCACACATACAGACAGAACACTGTATACATAATAAATAAATAAATCTTTTAAAAAAAAGATGCTTATATAGAAGCTAAGAGCACATCCGATAGAGACACTGTGGGAAAGAAAAGTAAGTTAGTCTTCAGACGGACATACAGGCATGTCAACTGAAATGCTAGCTAGAGTGTGCGTGTCTGTCTCCATGTGTTTCATTCTTTGTGTAGGTGGATTTACGGCTAAAGCATCATCTGATGGTTTAGGTTAAGGCATGAGCTCCTGCAACTTGGCTTGGACAAGGCCACAAAGAGACTAAAGAGATATTGATTTGGGTGTGTTTACTCTGGCGCTCAGGGGTGGGGTGCTGTGCTACACTGGGGAGCAGGAAAAGAGAACAGGGTGGCCTGTGCCATTCAATGTTAGGAGTTTGCAATCCTAGCTGTTTCACTCAAGCAAATCTGAGTCTGTATTTGACTCTTCCAACCTTAATTCCCTGCATAATTTATAAATGGGTGTGGGTGGGTGGGGTGTTAGGTTTCAAACCTGGTGCCCTATTAACATATCAAAGCTGATCCTGGCTGCCCGGTTCTCCCAGCATCCTCAGTCCCTACCCAGAACAGGGTTGTCATGACTAGCGCTCCCCCACAACCCCAACACATACACTTCTCCAGCCCAGAAACTGAGCTGGGCTGCCCTCTACCCAGATGCTCTTCCCTATAGAACCCAGACACTGCTACTTAACAGCCCTTTTTATCTCTTTGCCTCTTGCCCTCTTGGTTGCTATTCCTGGTTTCCCCCGCTTTATTCTCCTCTCTCCTCAACATGGCCGGGCTTGGTCTGCTGGTCAAGTTTACTCTCTAACTCTCTCAGATGTGTCTGTCTCTGCCTGTGCTTTCCTTTACACCTATGATTAAAAAAACAAAAACAAAAACAAAAAACAAAAACAAAAAAATCCCCAAAAAACCCGACCCACCTCTTAGGAGCAGTCATGTCCTCCTTTTATTTCTTTTGTTCTCTCTCTCTCTCTCTCTCTCTCTCTCTCTCTCTCTCTTCCTCCCTCCCTCCCTCTCTCTCTTTGGGCTTGAAAGTCATCTTAAAATAAAGACAAATCTCCATTTGGAAACCCCCTACCTCTGAGCTATAAAAAGTCTTATCTTGCGCACGTCCAATGCTGACCTTTAGAACTCAGCCTTGGGTGGAGGCAGCTTGTTTACAAGGATAATAATAATAAAAAAAGCTTGCTTTGGTTAATGGACCATGATGACTTGGGTTGGTGGCCTTTCTCCTCACATCTCTGAGAATAACCGATCTTGAAAAGATTGAACAAAGGAACCCACAAATGGATTTCTCACGGTTCCCAGCAAATATGATAGATAACTATCTAAGATATTCACAGTGATAGTAAGTGGAACTAAAAGATTCTGGTCTCATGCTCCCAACTGCACCATAGCTATAGCAACCAGTCAGTGATCTGCATAGGATCTCTGCACCCATTCTTCCACAGCCCCTATCACACTTGAAGTCAAATAAGGCAGAATGTAAATCAGGTTAGAGACTCATCCTGTGCCATCCGTTCTCACAGGTTTACAGCCCAAGAGACTGAGGCCCAGCATGGATTTGGAGACTGGCACCTAGGTCTTCCATATGATAGGAACTACCCTTAGTCCCTTACATTTAGGGCCACATGAATTTTGCTCATTTAGATCACTGTCATTCACTTATGGGAAAAAGTTCCTAGAGTCCATTTCACCCAATTCACTATACTTCGCAATAAGATAGATTGTATAATATAAGATGAATTTATAAGTTGCTTCATACCATAATTCTTCCATGAGCCCTTGGGTAGTGCCTTTCAAACAGTACGATCAGTTCTCTATATTTTCCCTACCCTGCCCTGTCCCTGTGTTTTTGAGTCAAGCTCTCTCTCTCTCTCTCTTTCTCTAAAAGATTTTTCTTTAATATTTGGTAGAATAAAACATGACCTAAATGAGTGCTAAATGCATTAAAAATTAAGAATTTGAATTTAAAAGCATTTAGGTAAATTTCAGGCAGGCCATCAAGGATACACGGTTAATTCGCAACCTGTGGCCCCCACTGTGTAACCTTCGCAGGTGAGAGAAGGTGGAAAGGTCAATAACACTAACGGGAATTTTGCAAGTAAAGCCCAGGCTGCATTATAAACAGGAACCATGATGTCCATAAAAAGTAAGCCCTTCTCTGTCAGTTTGATGCTGCAAACCTGCTTTAACCATCCGAGTCAACTAGTGAGGGACGAGTCTTCTCTAGTGTTAGAAATATAAAATGAATATAAAATATGAATCTTTTCTATCAAATACTATAACATTTGTGTTTAGAACAAGGAATTAATCTTTCTTTCCCACCTTGTAAGACTTTTGGGCAAATATTTTAACGCTCCCCACCCAGTAAAACCTTTGTTTACCCAAAGGCAGAAACTTGAAGGTCTGCAGCCCTTTCCCCTCTTCTCACTTCCTGTGTGCGAATTATTGTCAGACTAGTCAACTGAATAGACCTTGAAGTTAGTTCCAGACAACTGGGAAAAGACACAGCTACCTCCTGAGTTAGAATAAAACACCAATGCATTTCCTGTCTCTGTGAGTCACCCAGTATTTGAGTGCATCCTCTTGATCAAGAGTATTGCCTTGTATAGACACTTTGGTCAGAAGCTGGTCTCTTTCTTTGCAACCCAAACTTGTTTCTAACATTAGATATGGATCAAAAACTGTAATTTATATATTGGTCAGAATAACTACTAACTTTGTTTTTCCTTTTTCTTAAACTGTTTTTACATTTATCTGCGCATGTGCATGTGTTTGAGCATGTGCACTTGCGTCAGAGGACAACTTGTGGGAGTTGGTTCTTCCTATTAAGTCAAGGATCAAACTCAGGTCATCAGGCTGGGTAGCAGGTACTTAAAACAGTTGAGCTACCTTGTTGCCCCTGATATTTCTTACCATTTGAAAAAAAAAATCCAGAAAAATATGGGTTCTGACTGGTTAGATTCTAATTAGCAGGAGTGTTTAGAAAGGTCCCTTTCCCCTCCTTTCCCTTTCAATAGTAGAAAGTAGTAACAAGCTACCTGGAAAGGGGCTGTTGGCCAAGCCTGAGCCCCACATTTGATTAGACAGCAGGATGCTGTGAGAGCAGGGGGACCCAGTGCTCACCAGCTTTTCCTACATGTTGGAGGGATGATTAGAGAAAGGATTATTTACAAGGGAATGATACTGCATGGGTCTGGGTGGCGGGTGTCTGGAAATTATTCACTCCTGCATCTTCCTCTCAAGGTTAAAAATGCAACAGGATGGAATAATGAAATAGGATGTGTGGAGCAGCATACCACCTTCTTATACTGACTACCTTAAACTGTTGAGGGGATGGGGCTGTGTATAAGGACAGTGCCAACTATGCCAGCTAGAGACTATAGACTACTTACTGACTATCTACCAATTACGGAGGTAGTCATGCTACACATTTGTTAATGTGCACAATGGACTTTTGTGTTAGATACTGTTTCCTGTTTTAGACTGCCTGTGGGGGTGCACACCTTCAGTCCCAGTGCCCAGGGGGGGGGGAGCACAAAGAGTTTAAGGTCATCCATGGCTATATAGTGAGCCGATGGCTAGCCTGGGGTATAGGACACACTGTCTAAAATGAACCAAAACCAAAACTCTAAGCTCAGTTGGTGCGGGAAAATTATCTGTATTCTGTCAATCATATTTTAATAAAACGCTGATTGGCCAGGCAGAAAGTATAGGCGGGTCAACCAGACAGGAAATAGAGGTGATGCAATGAGAACAGGAGAATTCTGGGAAGCAGGGGTTCCTCCACCACTCCTGCGCAGACCACCGAAGAGGCAACATGTAAGCTGACAGCTGAAAAAGGTACCAAGTCATTATGGCTAACATAGATCAAAATAATGGGTTAAGATAAGTTATAAGAGCTAATAAGTAGCCTGACGTAATGGACCAATCAGCTTTATAACTCATAGAGTTCTCTGTGTGATTAATTTTCTTTGGGGCTTGCCGGTTGTGGGGTACTGGGCGGGACAGATACCCCAACAAGCCGGCCCTCATGTTACACTCAGTCATCTTTTTCAGAGTTCGAGTAACTGAGGCACAGGGAAGACAAAGTATTACCAAGCCAGAACCCAAGCAGACACAGCCCGCTCTTAACCAGGGCACAAAGCATGTGGGAAAGAGAACGCACTTTTTGCCAGAAGGTCCTCGGTCAGTCCTGCAGAGCGACTCTGAGCTTAGATCTGATACCAGGTCAGAACAAGTTGCACTTAACTCTAAAGTGAGATTGAAAACAAAACAGAGGCACTTCCTGGTCCCTGCAGCGGCTCAGGTTACCTCCCTTGGCGTATACACACCGGCTTAGAACTTGCTCACCTTCCAGCCACTGTACAATGGGGCTCTATTTTAAGATGATGACTTTGCATCTTAGCTCCTGAAACAAATGGACACAGCATATTTGGTGGGCATGAAAGCCTCAGCACAGCATAGGAGTTCCTAATGGACACTGCTTTGTGCAACAAAATCAGATGTATCAGCAGTTGGAACTTCAGGGTTAGTTGTTAAGAATTAGA